ATTTCATTTCTTCCTTTGCAGTTTTTAACTTTTAGACCCTACAGTTTAATGAGTAAAGATGTACATCTATTCTTTTCAAAGCTCTATTCAAAATACATGCAACTGACTTTATGTTAGAGGTCATGAGAGAAATACACACTTGTAATAAATAAATCTTTATTGAATTTTGGGGGTGAAAATCAGTACATTTCAGAAATACTTCAGAAGTAAAACTGAGACATTTAAAAAGTTTAAAACTAACAACAGTTTCACTGAATAAATATTGTGCCAATAACCACATAAAATAAAGCTCTGCTTATTCAGTTCTAGCAGCCAAACACTGACAATATTCTGCATCATTAGAGGCAGTAATTATTAAGTTCTCCAAAGAGGGTAATGTATATTGAATACACAGTATTTTGTAAAAACACATGAAGTGAGGTATAACTTTTAAAATTAGTTATGACTGTTTGTAGGCATCTACAGAAATAATCAGCATCAAGCATGTCTAGACCTTGAAATACAAACTTGTTCATGACTATACACATTTGGCATTTCAGGCATAATTATGTGATATGCCACACTGAAGTAGTTCATATAATTATTTCCATTTCAATTTAAAATTTGCAATATATCACACTTCTGTTGGATATATAAAGAATACACCTCTACTTTGCTTTTTCTTCAGAATAGTGGATCTCTGATATCAAAGAAAGTGTGTTCCTGTCAAATAAGAAATAGATGCAATCATTTGTGAAATTGTAACATGATATTAATATTAACCTTTTGTGTCAACATTTATGGCAAGAGAAGCTAAGGTACTTACATCAACTCAGAAACTTGTTGGAAGTTGAAAGAGGAAGCTCTAGGCTCGTATCTGCTTGTGTTGTTGAAAAAGCAGTTACTGTCACTGAAAACGTTCTTTTTATGAACTTTCCTCAATTGGTGAGTAACCACCAACTCACCATTGAGTGTCATTCATGTGGGTTTAAACCATTCACTCTAGGCTTTGAACCAAGGAACCTCATGAACCTCTAAATAATTTTCCATGGAGTACATTGTACAGTAGCATATAATGCAGCAACAATAATGTGTAAATAAAATTAAATATAAATAAGTTAGTAAACTAAATTTCATCTCACCCCAGCTAGCATCATTCGTTTGCCTTCCATGAATGCCAAGTCACTGAGATTCTTCTGCCGCAACACATTTCCGTCGTCATCTGTTATATTAAATACAATAGCTTATTCATAAAAGGCCAAAAGCAAACCTAGTGTATCTCAACACTGAGAGGAATACTGGAATCATATTTAATTATATCTGAGCTTCGTCCTGGACTGGATAAAATATTGAAACCAATGAAATGGAATATAGATTTGATTCACATATTTAAACCAATAAACCTATTCCAGGTGAATCACAGGTACATGTACATGCATTCAATTACACTTAAAACAGAGAAGAAGCTGCTGAACAAATTTCCAAGATCATGGTATCAAAACTACCATGATGGTAATGAGATGAAGAAAACCTACCTAAAAATAGAGGACTAGCCTAGTTCTGGCCAGATTCTGGCTCTTCTTAACAGCTTTGAAACATAGATTAGGTTATAGAAGCAGGAACCCTAACTGCTATGAATTATCACAGACCTAAAATGATGGTGCTAAAGGAGTCAAGTTGTAAACAGCACTAGTATCATCCTCATATTAACTGTCTGACATAAAATCACGTACCTGAGCTGCTGTCTTGTTTCACCTCAGAATCAAATAAATCTAAGGCTTCTGATGCACTTTGCTGAGCTCTTTCTTTGAATTCTTCAAAGCTATTATGTACTCTAAAAAAGTGGATAATAGTGAATTACCTTAAAATCCCTAAAGAGAAGATTGTCAGCAAAGAACATGACACTAAAATCAATGGCTCCTGAGGAAGGATTGTACAGTACATTACATTGTCGCATGTTCAATGTCAGAAGAACTTTTTATAGTATGGCAAGGTCATCATGTGGTAAATCCAACTGCTCTGATTGGTTCTTACTTGGTTGGGAGTTTCTCATACAGACATTTCCACGGAAACAGTCATAACCTTTGTATTTTTTTTCTCCATAAGCAGCAAATAGAAAACAAACAAGTCTGGCCTGAGTTCCATATAATAAATAGAGAATAATACATGGGCAGGCATTGATGTGGAATTTCTCTTCAAATGTTTAACTCGAATGCTCATGAGTGAGTGCAGCAAACGAGTGAGATGTCAATTTGAACACGAGAGGAGAAATTTCATATCTACAAGTTGTGTATTACACTTTTCTCAGGGCTGGAAATCCTTGTGAAACACCTTAGTTTATATAATAAATAGAGAATAACACATGGGCACATGTTGATGTGGAATTTCTCTTTAAATGTTTAACTTGATAGCTCACAAGTGAGATGTTAAGTTAAACATAAGAAGAAAAATTTCATATCTGCAAGTAACCACACAGTAGCCCTTTACTGAGAAGAAAAGTCAACTTTATTAATGTATGAATGAAAATGAAACAATAGACAATCCCTGAATAAAATTCATAAAGTGTTTTGATGCTAAGGCTCGAGATGGAAAAATATGTTGAAAGTCCCCACCACAAAAACAAACAATGGGTGTTTCAGTAATTTTCAATATACAAAATTCTTAGTTATTGATTTGGTCCTTATTGACAAAAGGAATCTTTCAGGAAAATGGCCAAAATCTGCCTGTGGCAAATCTGTTGATTTTTGTTCTCAGTCGTGAGAAATACATTACCAAAGCCACTGATTACATAACTATTGGTTTTTCTTTCTGTATTTTGGTTTTCTTCCCCTTCAAGAAAAGTTTGCTCATGGATTTTTCAGTGTTTTAGAGGCCATAATCTAAAAAAAATTGCAACAAACAACCTAGGATTGAGAATGGTGAAGGCTTTGCCATTCATTTATCAACCTGACTGAGTGACGCGAAAGGCGAGTGATGTGTCAGCAGCTGATTAGCAATATCAAACACACATAAAAAAAATATTGTATTTTTTTTACATGAGTTGTTATGGCTTTTCTCAGGGCTGGAAATCCTTGAATAGCACCATAGTTAATGTGATAAACTACACACTAAACTTGCTTTCCCAAGCCGTACTGAGGAATATTGACCCAAGGACTGTACTGACACAAGCTCAGATCAATATTATTCTCAAGTAGGGTCTCATTGCTGGGTGAAAGCCTTACAGACCTGACACAGACATTGACTGTCTGAAATGTGTTTAGTGTCTGTAAATGAGAAAACTTTGAGTAGAACTGTTAGTTACACTGTAAAACAAACACACAGCCCAGGAGAGATTCTGTGCATCAAATCACTACAATAACAGGAACAAATTTTTACTTACAGATCAACAGCTTCTTCATTTGTTGCACCCCAGGTGTCTATGCTATAGAAGCAACTTTTCATAAATTTTAGGACTTGCCTGAAAGAGTCAGAGTATGTGGCTTTTAATTCAGAAGAGACTTGCATGTTTTTTCTCTGTGTAATGCTTGTGACATCAAGCACAAAATTTACCATATTACTCATTCTATGGCTATATAACCAATGGAAAGCAAAATAATTTATCCAATAATTATATTCTACAAGACTATACTTGGTAAGTAAAAAAAGTTAGGGCAATTATTCCCACACCAGTGAAAACTGTATGAGACACGGACTTACCATATGCTGTTTTTACCCCTTTCCCACTGAGGAAATGACTCATCCAGATTGAGGACACTAGAAAAAATATAACTGGGTTAGAACTGTAGCTACAGATTGAAACAGTTTAATTGTACTTGCACTACACATTATGTTCTGTGTAGATGGTTTGTTAAGAGTTTTGAGCTGCAGAGTCACAGGGTCACAAAAAGATAGCTGTCTTGCTACTTGCAGCTCCCAAAACCAGTGTTTGAAATCAGAACATTGGAGCACCGAGACTGCAAAAGCTAATTATGAATGAATTCACATACATGTCTGGTACATGAACCTTTTCATGATATCTCTGACACATTGTAAAATGTCTCTGGAACAATGGAGTATTTTAAAACAATGTTGTGATAAAAGAACCTCAAAAGTCGTGAAATTTTTGTTTCATTGTAAAAGTCATGAAATTCTATTGAAGATAATGGAGACTCACAAGAAAGTGATCTAAGTTGAAAGAAAAAGAAAGTTAAATAATCCAATTATACAATTATATACTGTATAGCTCAATAGAACTAGTCTGTTTATTCCTGGTAAAAACATTTAAAAATCATCCTGAAAAAACCATGGCAAAATGTGGTTATCGGCACATGCAATGTTTGCTAAATCATTTATAGACAAATGTTTTATACTTACCCATTCACTGGATTAACTTGTGGATGAAATAAAGGTGTGGTCAATTTCAGAAGAGGTCGACTATCAGGAAAACTGGTAGAGATAAAAAATAGTAAATTAATACATCAATCAATATATCTTAATACATATTAAATAAATAATGAATTAAAAAACCTTGGGTTTTTGTTCCTACTGCAGGTGTTCTTTGGAGACAATTTTGTAGAAACTAAAAAATAAGTAAATTGCTGTTTTTTGTTGATTTTTGATCATTTTCTCTTTTAATCAGAATGCATGCTGTGAACCTGAAAGACAATCCTTAATTGATTTACATTTTTACATTCTATCTAATAAGTGACTTCACTTCAAGGCCACCATTTAAACCAGCCTTGACTGCATTGCACCTATCTGTACATTAATAAACATGTAGCTTGTAAACAAGTAAATAACTTACAAAACATAATTTCACAAAACACATTGCCAATTGAAATGAACTTACTTTTTTAAATGTACTTACTCATCTTGGAGAATAATTATAAACCTGAAGATGCCATCTCTGTAAGGCCCAGCTCTGACAAATATGACTCCATGCCAGACTAAAGTAAACAAAATTGTAACTTTGAATTGCATCAAGAATGACCAGCCATATTTCTGTTATACCATTGATTGCATCTATCCTTCCACACAAGTGATGAAAACATGTTCTATTGGCCTATCAAACTTCAATGTTTCAACAGAAAAGCTTCAAAGTTTTCCTATTTGTAGCACTATTCATTCAATGCTGTTCCACAGTTTGTTTTTCAAAAGATGAAAGAATAAAAAAGAATTATGTCTGATCACAAAACTACAAAAAAGTTTTTGGCCGAAGTTGATCCTGATCTACCACTAACATTGAAAGGCTGCCCTTGTTTGGTTTAACCCTTTCAGAGATACCATCTTCATACAACATTCTTCAAACATCTGTAAATGAATGGAGCTGTGCAAGATCTATCACTTTATTTTGCAAGTTGGTGGATAATTTGAGGTATGCCACATTTAAACCTTCTGCCTCTTTTGCTGAGTGCAAATGCCATTGCCAGTCATCATCAAAAAGCAGGAAAACCTCAAGTGGGCAGGCAATGTAAAACCTTCACCCTAATGTGTGGAGGAGTAGATGCAATCAACAATACAAAGCTAGTGTACAATTTGTTCTTCCAGTCAATAATTTTCCTAATAACATACAGTGGGTGTAAGTCCTAGGTAACTACTATCATGCTAACAATCCAGTTGAGTTTAGCTGCGAGGTTTAAAAAATTTCAAGATAGTTTTCCAATATTGTTTTTCCCTAACTGTGTATATATCAAGTTATGGATGCACTAAGGAAGTTTGGAGAGCATTCAAGAAGCTAGAGTTGCTCAAGGTGCAGCAACTTTTACACTTCTCTCATACTTTCCAAACTTCCTGCATGCATCCATAATTCAATATACACATGCTAAGCATGAACTTATCCCTTAATGTGAAACATTTCTTCAAACCACTCTCATTTCCATTATTCTTGTTTTTGATCACAATGAATATCAGGCTGGGGTTGTTCGAAGATTGGATAGGACTATCCACTGGATAAAACTCTATCCAGTGAATAAGGCTATACATTTTGCTATCACTAATCTGCTGGATTGTGATTCATCTGTTGGATAGTGTTATCTGCCCTTTATACAACTGGGCCCAGAACTAGAAACATTAATATTTTTCATGTGGTTTTAGTAGAACATGGTTTGAATATTGCAACTTATTCTAAAATATTAAACCACAACATTCAAGACTATAAAACAAACAATGAATAAAGGATGCCAGTTTAACAAAAAAAATGGTATTTACATACTGTATCATATGTACAACATATGCCTCAGTGTAAAGAACTGACCTTGTAATGACTTCAGTGATGGTATTACATAAACTCCAGAGAGAGGATTTCTTCCCATACACTTGCTACAATGAGACAATTTTTCCAAATAATTACATTTTTTTAAAAAGTAAGACATTTAAAGAATACACTCAGTCTATAATTATTGGAGGTTTAGCATTTTTAAAATACACAAGGATGTCTTAGGTAAGAGTTGCCTAGAAGTATTTTTTCATGAGCCTACAAGGATGAGGAAAAATATTTCCTTGAACAATGAACAATGTTAAACTATAACATATTCAGAACTCAGACGCTGGACTGAGGAGGAAAGACTCAACATTTTTCCGTTTAATTTACTGTGACTACAGATTATGTTCAGAACACAATGCTGTTTAAAATGTATAACTAACATAATTACTCTAACATGATAATTTTTTTTTTTTTTTTATTAACAGAGTTGATAATGTAAATTGGCCACTGTAAAAAGCTTAAAGCTGACAGTTTGAGCATTAGCCCTTCATCAGAGCAAATGGAGGAATCATGGGTTGTGTGTGTGGTTATATTGTTGTGTTTATATGTGTATGATTATATTCTGGTTTCAGTTTTACAGCTGGCAAATCCTCATCTGTCTAAACATCAGTGAACTCCCGTGAACAGTAAGATAATTCTAGACTATCATGGAGTATTATGAACATCAACTACTAGCAAAGTTATTGTCCGAAAGAAATTCGTTCACTTAAAATTGGCAATTCGTCATCGAATCAGAGATTAAAAGAAGAAAACCCACTCACTATTCAACCATGATGGCGTGCTCCCGGAAAAACGTCCCAAAATCTTGACTCGTTGCGCAACTTTCATTTTCTGCTCTAATATGTATTCTCTCTTCGTCCGTCTTCGTCGCCAAAGTGCTGCTCTCACTCACTGATCGAACTAGCTTTGCTTTACCAGGGTACGAAGGGATCAGTTTCCGGGCGGCTTTTAGTCTCTCGCTGAACGTCGAACTGGGAGAGAACCGTGATTTTAAATGGCCGGAAATTTCGGAGGTTTGATCATCTTCCTCTTTCGATTCCTTGTCATGATCTGGACTTAGCGAATGAACAGGACTTATGGAAGGCATGATAGAAGCCACAGACAAACAGGATGTTTGAAGAGCGTTAGATATGGGCAGTCAACGCCGGAAAATCTTTTGAATGTGTCTCTGTCGGTACACAAAATGGCGTGGCTGTATCCGATACAATGGTATGCAATCGTATCGAATTTCGATAGCTGTCACGTATTGGTATATTCAATGAAATAAAAGCCACTCAATCCATTTGCAGTGTCCTCTTCCTCTCAAGCCATTATGTGGCATATGTTGCTAACTTGTAGCCAGTTGTTTTTGATTCAGTAGACGGGGTGAATACAAACGCACTTGAGCTTGGAAATATTTCCTAAGGAAGCAGATGAAAAAAGTAATCAGAAGTCTGACTGATACGCACGACTTCTTGATCTTAACGCCGATCTTTTGCCACCCAGAATTCGTTAACACCGTCAATTATTTATGATCCACGGGGAAAAAAACTTATTTACCTGCATTTCTTTAAATCTCGTGACTTTGGTGACAGCAACACGTTCCAGCGCGCGCCAAGTTTAAAACATTCTTCGCATGGCTTTGAAACGTGCGCAATTTAGTACAAGGCCTAGAGGTAGTAGTTGAAGCCATGATTGAGGCAAAGGCTCAAAAGTTTCTGTCTGGCATATCCAATTATTAGCTTTATCGGTGAGAAGATAATTCTGTCACTTTGAAAGACCTAGACACTTCGGGGATCACTGACGACCGCCATCATGGATGAAACTGAGCCCGCTCTAACAACCGCTGAGCTAGTTTGAGCTTTCTGATTGGTCAGTAACTGAACCGTTAAATTTGATTGGCGAGGTCACTAAATCGCGGTCTTTTTGACTGAGGAGAAAGTGATACCAAAGCAGAAGTTTTTATTCGGATAAACTGGGAACTGACTGCTACTAATTTCTATGAAACAATGAGCAAGAAAGACTCCAAGGATTCTCATGCCAGGGTGTGCCTTAGTCGACTTACTAGAATTTTGGAGATCACCATGCTTGAAGAATTACAACAACTTGAACACACGGGAGATGTCGCGAGAAATCTGGAGATCGAAAGTAATTCGGAACCTGCACAGAAAAGTTTTTTCTACAAATCATCGGAAAAGATAAACAAGATCATCAGCAGAAGAGGTGAAAAAAGGCTAATAGAATGAGTTCCCATCAATTTTAAAAAAATACTCCAAAGTGTTATGAAAAATATGTAAAATTTTTCCTGCTGCTCGACAAATGACAATTTGTTAGCTTAATCTTACTGATATTCTGTGATAAGAGGCCTTATTATATTGCTGGCTTTATTTTTATAAAGAGAACTGGAGCGCCTCTGTTCACGATAACACTGTCTTAATCAGTGAAATCCTAAAAAAAGTAAGCTCTTCTATAAAATGATTGGCCAAGTCCTCTGCTATTGTTGAAAAGTCTAGCTACCTTGACATACACTGTATGTTTGAGTCTCTTGATCGTCCATGAAATAATTTTAATTTATATTATGTTAATACTGTAGTAACCATAAATTATAAGCTCAGCAATGTTAGAATTATTGTAAGCATTATTCCTTGATACTCCTCAAAAAAATATTAATAATAATGAAAATTGTGATGAAGTATTTTTATGACATTTAGCTCCATGCCTTTCATCTCATCACTAGACATTATTTAAAAACTTTTATAGGCTTTACTCCCAGTTATTGTGCAGGCTACCAGATTTACATGAAGGCACAGTACATGTACACCAGACTGCTTTGGTTGAAGGTTGTTGATTATTATTCTTAGCATGGATGATTTTTTTCCTTTCAGGGAGTCATAAAATATTTGGTCATTCGCTAACAGAGGAAGCTGTTCTCAGAATCTCAACTCTTACAAATTACTTAAAGTCATGTAAGTCATTAATTCCAGGTTGCTTAAAATATTTATGGAGTGCTGTACATTTAAGAGGAGACAAAATCCTCCATAAACCTTGCAATTTAATAGTTTATAATTAAAAGGAATTTCTTGCTAACTCAGTCTTGAAATTCTGAAGTGTAACCTACATAAATGACCTGAAAACACCCTTTAAATATGCTTAAGTTTTGACTGTGCAGGTGAATTAGTTTGATTCTTTCTCGAGGTCCTAATATTGCTGTCTGAGTATAATTAATTCCATTTGTTTGCCATTGATCAAAATATGTTTGTTACTTTATTACAGATGTGGACAAGGAGGGGTTGTTTAGAGTTTCTGGTAACAAGAAAAGACAAGAGGAACTAAAAGAAATACTTGATAAAGAAGACCCAGTTGACTTTGAAAATGGAAGATTCACTCCACATGATGTAGCATCTGTTCTTAAAATCTTCCTCGGAGATCTCCCAGAACCTCTTCTGACAAATGCTCCTTTGGATGCTTACTTACAAATCACAGGTACAGCACTGTACTTTCAACTGTAGCCAAACTTCAAAAGGACCTCTAATGATCAACTTATAGTTTAATGTGTATAAGAACTGTTTATTTTAACCTTGGTACTGAATTGTATCTTGCACACATGTAAGCCTATTTATCAATAATTAATATATAGCTGGCAGCACCCATGGGCAATATGAAGCCAGCCCTATGTTTTGATTGGCCACAGGATTGCCTTCCTTGATCCCACATAAGAAAAAATTGTAGCATGCGGACTAAAAATGATCATAATTTTTGGAGAATTTTGGTAATGGACTGGCAAAAAGTGGCAGTAGATGGTCAAAACAAAGAAAACAGATTGAATGATTTTCATGAGTGAATTGCGTTACAAAAACTAATAATAAGAAAAAATTTAAAAAAAAAAAGTTTCTCACTGAAAACAAGAGAAAGTAGTGTCGATCCTGAGCATGAACAAATTTTTTTTTGTTTATGTTTATAAAAGTTCCTTTAGTTTAATTTGTAGTTTTTCTATTTGATGTTGAGAGTATTTATTTTCTATAATTACATTCACTGTACAACTTAAGACATGACTTCCATATGGTAACCATGAACTGATCTTATGATTGTGTAGAGATCCGTAATGATGAATCCAGTGCTAAGATGATCGAAGCATTCCAGCTTCTCTTCTTGTTGGTGCCACCTCCAAACAGAATGCTGTTACAGCAGTTGTTGGAACTCCTTAATCTTACCTCTAAGAATCCTTACAATAAAATGACAGCCCACAACCTTGCTGTGGTTTTTTCACCCAACATTATGGGCTTCAAAGAGGTATTGTACATTTATCTTGCTTTTGATGACACAGCTCAAGATGCTATTGATTGTTGAATAAATTCTCCCTTTTAATGACACAGCTTAAGATGCTCTTGATTGTTAAACAAATTCTCCCTTTCGGTGAAATGGGAAATGTGTAGAGAAAATATACTGTAGTACTGTCTGGTAGTTTTTACATTAGGGTGAATAGGGTAACTTGATCAATAAATCTTTCAACTGAGGCAAACTTGAATTCAAGATCCACATTCTATTGTTACAGTTAATGTAACTACAGGTATTTATAATTTAACAGTACCATAGAAATTGTGTAATATGGAAAAATCCAATCAACCTATTTTCTTATGTCCTTTCTGGTCATTTATTTGGTAAAAAATCAGAAAGTGACATGCTTGAGTCACATTCCAGAAGACATGACAGTTATGCACAAGTTGGTTGCCTCCATGATTCATCATGCTTCTGAACTTTTCAAGGTTAGTACATGTATCTGACTGACTACTATTAGCATTTTTCAATTTAATCCTAAAAGTAATTCAGGACAGTCACTGTGTTGGTTTTTCTTCTCTTTGCCCTTTGATTCATTCAGGAAACTTGCAACACCCCTCTTAACCTCTACAATAATTAAAATGAAAAGCAATATTTGTGGCTTCAAGATCAGTCTCAGTCACTCATCCTGTGGGCAGTTAATTTGCTGGTTCATACTTTGAGTTTGCTTTGGTCCTTGTCAAAGACATCTTCACTTAGATTGACTGTTAGGGTTGCTCTATCTGTGATTTTAAAACAATCCTAGAGTGCTCTAAATCAATATCACCCCAACAATTTGTTTAGTTTTGGTCACAGTGCAGCTGTTGAAACAGCTTGCACTCAGCCTGCATGTGCTGCCTCTGATTTTATGAAAATTATATTTTTTGATATCATCATGCCGATTTGTCAAATTTAGCTGACTTTGATGACAAACCTCTTGGTTTTGTGACATCTTTGGGAAACTCCAGGAGAGAGGGTGCTTTGCTGGATATTGATTGATTTTCCTTTTTCGTTTTTTGTAAATGAATTTTCTCTTTACAGATTCCCAAAGGTCTGTTGGAGGAGATTGAAGCAGCAGAGGAGTGTTTTAAAAAGGGAAGCGTGAGTTGTTTTTAAGCAAACCAAACCTGGTGTAGTCATCAATTGACAGGATAAATTGTCCTCTGTCAATTAACATGTATATGACTTTGTAAAGCCATGAAAAAAATGTTGATTTGTAGCTATAACTTTAATGCTTGGGGCCGGACTGTTGGAAGGGTGGATAATGCTATCCAACTGATAAATCCCTATCCAGCAGATAAGTATAACAAAACACACTGCATTATCCATACTGAGCCATCCAGTGGGTAGTGATTTATCCAGTGGATAGCATTATCCACCCTTAGAACTACAGGGACCAGTTGTAAAATATTTATAGAAAGATGTAAAATTGGGCAAAAATTTTGGTCTGGGCTAAGTGACCTAAATATGAGTCATCTGTAAGGATTCAAACCCTCAGCAGTACAGATGTAAAGATTGAGGGCCAGTTACTTCCAGGAGGTCCAACCCAAACCATGGTTTTACCTATTATTGGTGGGCTTCGGGTTTTCTCTACATGAGGGTTCATTTAATGAAATAGTTGTCTCTCCACTGTTAGCTTTTGGCTCTCTTGACACTGTTCACAAAAATAAATGTTTAGACTAAAGGTTCAGCTAAACTGAGGATCGTTTAGGAAGCAGTTTTGTTATTTAAGTTGTGGTTAAACTAAACGAATAATCAGCGCAAAGTACTCTTAATTAATGTTGACAGCCTCCATATAGGTGCAATTCAATTTCAAGACATTCTACAGTATGTGACTTTACAATTCCTTTACACCTCTCACTTCCAGGAGTGACTGACAAATAATTTCTTCCCACTGTTTAACAATTATTCATTGACAGAAGTGAAGGTGAATAGCGGTGGATATTTACTGAGCCGCAAAGCAGTTAGGTAGATATCCCCCAATTTCACCAGCACTAAGGTGAATAATCAGGACTCAAAATAAAAACTGTTCAACAAACATTACATGTATGTCAGGTCAAATGAAGGTTTTGTCCGTCAAATTCTTGTACGGGTAGACATTTTGTTTAGTAATTTTTGCCTATATGGGGAAAAATTAATTCCAGTGTAAGTTCAGGCTTTTAGTACTGCTGTATTGGGACAGAGGGATTTATCAAGACATGGATATTTTTCTGGCCAAAAATGGGCTGTGTCTTGAGCAAAAATAGGTTTGACTAGACAGCTTGACTGATTCCATAGTCTGGGAAATTATTTCAAGCCTTGATGGTTGTTTTTAGTTAGTACTTTCCACTCAGAAACCAATAATTCAAATGGTAGTTTATTTGTGTTAGCATACCGAGAAATGACCCGACATTAAAGTTTGACTTGCTATTTTGTCTCTTTGGCTGCTCAGAGTTAAAATTGCTAATCATGTCTGAACTCCATGAGCACAATTTGTAAAAGGGCCAGAAGTATTGAGAATCCATCACCATTCTCTTTTTCCTGACCAGAAAACTTTCACACCCAAAAACTACTTGTTACTAAAATATGATGTCTCTTCTTTAGACATGCTGTAAAGAAATACGGTCCTGTAACATTCCACATAATGTCAGGAAATTTGATAAATGTCAAATGTAATTTTTTTTCTTTCAACAGGAGGAACTGCCAGTTACTCGCACATTTTGTCAGCAAATGGACCGATCATCTCATAAACAAGCTGTCCAACAAACAACAACAGATGCTTTGGTGCAACTCTACAATCATGTCATTGACCTTCCTGATGGACCTGTTAGGCAGAAGTTCTTACAAAGGGTTTGAAAATTTTGTTTTTTTGTTTGAGGTGTGGCTCAGAATTTAGTTAGGGACTGAACAGAGGAACAATTACCCTCTGATGAAAATTGCTTCATCAGAAGATTCATCTGGTGCCTCAGGAGGCTTTTGGTCTCACAAATCCGAGGTGTCCTGCTCTTATAAGTTTTTCTTAAAAGCAGAGTCATGCAAAGATAAAATTTTATCTCCTGTGGCACTTGTGGTCTTTTGGGACAATGCCCTGTCTTTTGCTACCAACGCTCTGCTCACTTAGCTGTCTTAGTTTGAAAATCAATTAATCAAAAACACTTTCTTCTGTATATTCTATGATGTATTATATTCAGGACTTTGTGAGCTTAATTTTTGGGGGGGGCTTTTTTGTAACATTTCTCTCCCATTAAGATGTTTCCGTGTCATCTACACCGATATGCCATAGGAGTTACATAAAGAAATCCATCTCCTCGTTCAAAATTCCAGTTTCTCGTTATGTCTCGTTCAGCAGACCTTTTTCTTCCGTCGTCACTGAAAAAACGTTTGGGTTTAGAGAGTTTCGTGTAAATGCGATGAATAAACTGCTGGAGCTACGCGCTCACGGTGTATCTCGCCGTACGGGCCATGCTTGGTCTTACTGTTGGACGAGAAGAGATTGGAAACAGATGGGGTGTGGCATGTAGGTGTTTTGACTTCAAGAGAAGTGAACGACTGCAAGTAGCCCATCAGGAAAAACTGGAGATTTTATTGCAGGCGGAAGTTGGGCCCGAAACACGCCATTCTTGATAATATAACGTTATTGCTGATCCTGATAGGAACACCCAAATCTTGTCTAAACGTAAAACTTTGTGTCACAGTTAGCTGTGATCGTATTCCATCAAGAGAACGAAGAACCCACTGAAATTTGCTTCGCTGCCGACATGTGGCTGCGAACAGTTAAGTGGGAAGTAAGGATCAACACATGTCTTTAAGGCAAGGTTGATTGCAGTTCAACTACGAGGACGATTTCTTTACTTGTAAACCTATGTGTAGAGCGTTAGTCACGCCTACCCTCGCAAGAAAAAATATAATTTGACCCAGCGTTTATTCTCCAGAGTCAGGTCTCTATGTCCCAGAGTTGTTTGATGGAGAGACGTTCTCTAGAGGCCGGGATTTACTTTGCATTCTTGGACTAAAACTGCTGCTCTTGATTTATCGTAGTTTGAGAAGATGCATCCCGGCACTCCTCCGTTTATTCCGCGTTCAAAGAAGGTTTGTAGTATTAGTATTTTTGAAACGTTCAGTGACTAAACGCGTCCATTTCCAGTGAGTGATATAGACTGAGCAACCGACTAAAGATTTAAACGCACCCACTGCAATTTTGAAAACTCGAGTTCTCTCAGGACTTTTTCAGTGTCCTAATTTCGTAAACTACTCTTATCTGCTTATTATTCAGTTGTGATTTTGCCGATGAAGACTTGCTCATACTTGCAATGACAAATGGTGACTTGAAACCCTAAAAAAACAGAATCAATATTTAAAAAACTGGTGTGAATAGCGGTTCCTTTCTATGCATAAAAGTGCGTAAAAGATTTAAAATTAAAGATCATCGAAAGGGGTAAACCATTTATTATGTGAACCATATGGCAAACGGGAACTGCATTACGAACCATGTTGTTTACTTTGTTCTCTACAGGCCAGTTGTGTGAAAAATGTCGCTTCTTCAACTCCGCTAAATTCAGCTGAGTCTCCGGCAGTAAAGTTAACAAGAACTCCGCTGTCACCCATCCCAGGGAGGAACATGCCTGTAACAAGTACACCAACACTGAAGAGACGAGTGGCATTTGATGTGGTGGATTCTTCGGATTGCTTCACGCCTAAAATGCCTGTATTCAGAGGTACACCCTTTCTCTCCAGATTGGGTTTTAAAACACCTTCAGGTGTTATCCATGCTGGTGACTCGCCTGCAATCAAACACAAGCGAACTAAGTCTACGTCTCATCCAAAAGATTTTGTTTCCCCAAGAAAGCATGAAAGGCGTTGTTCAGCTCATATTCCTGGCAACAGGAGACTACCAAGTACCACTGACACACCATTCACACCCTCAGGATTCATGAGGAGTGTTGAGCAGATGGATGATGGCTGTGAAGCCAAATCTCTGGTGTTCACTCCCTCAGTGAAAACTCGACGCGCCACCCCACCTCATTTGAGACAAAACCTTTCATCAGTTGACCACACGGTAAGCCTACAGTAGATGTAACTAAAATTGAAGTAGTCACAATAACAAATCAGATCAAAGGTTATCTCTAAAGTAGCCAATAACAACTCAAATAAAAACAAGCAAACGCTTGAAGCGCGGGAAAACGCGAGTGAATAAATCGCGCTTGGTTAAGTGGAAACTGTGTACCTGTGTTGTAAATGCGGGTCCTGGGTTCAAGTATCCATCTCGCCATTCCCTGGATTGGTTCTCGGTTACCCGGAATTTAACTCATTGGCTTGTACTGAAAACAGCCAACTGATATGCCTCCTGCTAGATTGAATGGTCAACCACTTGTTCTTGATGTGAAGTATTTGTTTCATTGTTTGTTTGCGATGGCACTGAAAAAGCCCCTTCCGAGGGAACGGTTCATTAATTAGTTATTTGAACTATTTGTGTTGGTTTTGTGTCTGATTGGTTGACAGAGTTTGGAGCAAGTTTTCTGGACCATTTACAGGGTGCAATGAAACACGATCAACACAATCACAAATTTCCCTTCACACTCAAACGAAATGTAATTTCACAACCAAATGTATTTTTGCAGCGTTTAATGCGTGAAACAATGCTATTCAGGTACAAGCCAAAAAAAAAAATGGAAGTCTTGCTTAGACACTTTTTCCTATAACCCAAAAATAATGGGATTTTTAGGGAGGTTCACATTCTGAAGCGTATCTATATTCACAATAAAAATAAATCAGTTATCGTCCATTCATAAGAAATACGATATAACATTAGTGGTATTTCCATCTTAACCGTTTACACCCTAAGATTAATATACATATTCTCCACACTGCTGTCTTAACATTTCCAAAGGTGCTGTTCACAATCCAGAGCCTCTTTATCTGGTGACCATTTCCTCATGCTCGTGACCCTAATTTTTTATTCTGGGGTTATATTTTTAGGAGAAATTAGATACTAGTTTATCTAAAAGGTAAAAAAAAAATCGCTTTATCTCGACCATTATTCAATTTGTCGATGGCAAGTATTCATTGTTAACAGTCACATACAACATCGCGCGGTGCTGAATCAAATAACTTCTCTGAAAGCAGTAAGTATACATAAGCGCTAAGATTTTTTTCTCTGAAAGGGAAGAGGTTCTGTATTGGTAAAATTCTTGATAAGTTATATTTTTTTTCTTTTTTTCTTAGATGGATGAGATTTACGTCTGATTAAACCCGTGCTGTGATTACCATCGAGTCATATTGTTCCTCGTTGGCTTCTAAACCAAATTTCCAGCTTTTCAAGCATCCGACTTTTCCATGGTTAATCCTTACCTGCTTGGACGAAAACCGTTTAAAACGCCCAATTATCTCTTTCTAACTAAAGTCGATTTCAAATGCTACAAACATGTTTCACTTGGACAGGTTTCTCACGTGTCTGCAATGTCGTGGTCATTTTTCTAAGCCTGGAGTATCAGCCGATTTGGGCGTGGGTCATCGAAAGTCTTGTAAAACGGTTCAAAGTGATCGTCCAGAGAAAATCAAAACAAGAAATTTTCTAACTGAATGGTTGTTTCCACTTAAGTTGAAACCCACTTCCAGATCATTGCTCATGAAATACATAAGCTAAGAAATTCCACGAAAAAGATTGTGGGAAGTCATGAACGTTTTAAAGCTTGAATGAGTAGATACGACTCTTGTTTGAATGTTCGCATCTTTGTGTACATTTTACCCCTAAGCGACATCGCATATGACTCGAGACGCTGTAAGAGTTAGTTAAGCTACTTAGAAGTTTAAAGAAAAGAAAAAAAAGGCTTTTGTACATATTTGTAAATAGAACCAAGATGTAGAGTTTAGTTCTGCTTGAGATAACTTATATCTTCTGGTTAAAAAAACAAAACTTTTTTGTGAATGATGGTTCTCATATTTTTTCTACAAGGTGTAATTGTAAGAAGTTGTTACACTTCATATATGAAGCGATACCTACAGTTTTCCATAGTGGTAAATACATTTAGATCTCCCTCATGTCTTAAAATTTGATGCTTTGTCCAAGATATCCGTTATGTACATCGAGTGCTGGTCCAACTAAAACTGTCAATCAAAGAGCGAAACACCGGGCTCAAACGCCTGCGCATGTGCATGTGCATGCTTCTAGGCTGTCAATACCAAGTTGCCACAAAAGAATGTAAATCACGAGGTTTTAAAGGTGTAAAAGAATTCAGGAGCGTAACCAGGATTTTTCAAAGTAGGGGGTCACACTGAGTCAAACAGAGGGTACGCGCCAGATTGTCATGTCGACCTCCACGCTATGTTTCACTCGAAGTGACAACAAAAAAAAGTTTATGAAGGGAGGTCACGGGATCTCCCTTCCCCCCCCTCCCTCATTCTACACCCTTGAATCCTTGAAAAAGCTCCAAGACATAACGGTAAATCGACACAATTGAATAAATTTTGAGTTCGAAAAGTCTTAGATGATTTTCCTTTTCCCAACGATTGATTTTGAATATATTTTTTGAATACCTCTGTTCGCAAATTTTGCGAGACGGGTTGATTTTTCACGAATTCCCCTAAATTTTGTGCGGGTAATAGACGTGCGGTAGGCCAAGAGTTAAAATTTGCGCATGCCTCCCTTTGATCGCTGTGTTGACAAATGCTAGGGAAATCTTCCATTTGCACTTACAATTACCTCTCCTTTGACATCTACCACCAAGCCTTCGCAGGGAAGAAAGGAAAAAACGAGCGGTTTAGGATGTCTATCATGTCCAGAAAACGTAACAACAGACTAATCACACGAATCAAAATTCAAGACATCCAGCGTAATATTGAGCCTGATCATCAACACCTTATTTCTGACCTATTTCTATACCTGGTCACTCACATTTTCCCGCGCTTCTGTCCATCTGAACAATTTATATCGAAAACGCTGTTTGGGGTTTCTCGTCTCCAGCCGCTCTCGTCTTTCAAATGGGATTGGGCCAGGGGAAGTTCTGGGCGCATGAATGGACATTTTTTCGCAATACTATGTTACGAATTCTTTAGGACCGATGACCAACGATAAGAAACGAGTCGATGAATCAAGTGAAATAAAGAAAGAACCGCGCGTCAAAAGGGACTACTCAAGCTTGACCCGCCACCAGTGATGCTTTCCCCGAGCTTTAATTTTCATAGTTTTTTTTTCTTTCGTAAGAATCGATGATGAGACGCAGTGAAGTTAACTATATTTGAGAAACTACGCCTCCTTCCTTGTTTTCCTTGCGCCGTAACGGAACAGTAACATATGCTGTCTACTTTACTCTATCTTGGTTTTAAAACAGCGTTGTCTCCTAATTTAAGTCATTGCTCTCTCGCTGTTTCACCTGTAAGCAGGAGTTGAAACAGCACAATCATTCGACGCGAAAAAAGGCCTCCCCGTTCGCCTTTCTTGCATATCCACCCAAACTCGCCAAGAACACTTCGCCAAATGAATAATCAACACAAAATGTAGGGGCCACTTTTTCTAAGCGTTCCTCCTCAGCCGAACCTTTAATCTAAACATTTATTTTTATGAACAGTGTCAAGAGGGCCGAAAGTTAATAGTGAACAGATAAATCAACCTCTTATAGAGAATCCCTGATGCCCACCTCTTGTGTAAAACCGCTGTCTGAGTTAGAATTCGTGGAAATAACGACCCTTTGCAACTGATTAGAGAGAACTGACATTTTAGCCACGAGATGGAGGTATTGTTTTTCACGGCACAGCTGCTAGGCCCTATTCTATCTTCAGGATACATCTTACTTAAGCAAACGAGTCAATATATTTTATTTGTGTCTGCGCTGAAATTTGTGATGACGTGTAATCCGGTATCATTCACTGAGCTTTAAAAATATAAATTTATCATTGTTACTTTTGTCTAAAAATGATTGACATATTTTCTGCTGTAAGAAAACTGCTACAAGTCCGTGCGATTTCACATCATTCGTTTCCTTGACTACTTTAACTTTGCTTCCGCCCAGCGGTTATCACTCTACCCGCGTTCACATGACGAAAAGCGTGAAAAACGACAATCTGATTGGATGAGGGTCATAACCTTTCTACAATACAGCTCTCTGATTGGTCAACCTGCAGATAAAAAGGAGTATTTCTTCCGCATTGATTAATTAAGTTTGGTTGTTGTTGCTGATGCATACCTCAGCCGTATAGGACTGTGAGAGCTTCTGGAGGAGTTCACGACATCATGAACAATCGCGAGGTTCTACTTTTAAGCTGTTTTTTGCTGTGTGCAGGAGCTTTTGAACTCTCAGGCAAAGACATTCAAGGTAATATTCCAGGCAATTCGTTTACGGTGTATCGCTTAAAAATAGGTATTAACACGCACTACAGCGGTAGTTCAGCATAGTTCCATCTTATGCAGTTCTAAAATGCGCTCTATTTGCTTCGTAATTTGCTGTGTAATGTTCACATCAGAAGATTCACGAGACGAATCTTTTTGGGTTGAATTGTTCTTAGTCTTTTGTAATTCCCGTGAAAATCTACTTACCAATACGCTTTAGACACGTGTCCAATTTCTTGGAGCTTACGACGGAGTGTGAAGCAAATTCAGGTGATAAAGATAGTTAAATAACGCTGGAAGATTTCTATTATTACGTGTAAGACTATTCTGCAAGATGTTGTTTCTGAAGTGTAAAATAGAATGGGTTTCTAAATTGCGGTCTGCAAAGAACTGATTTTTGAAACTTTTTTCGAGATTCTCGCACCTAGTCATTTGAATAACAAAAGGTGTTGTAAAAGCAAGACTAACAAATTTTCTCTCATCAAATCATTTTTTCAACACTCGTGCTTTTTCTTATTAAAACAATAGGTGGGCGTTCGAATTATCATTGAAGATTTTTTACGGTTATTTCTTAATATATATTTTAGCTTCCATTCGCAATTGCCACTATATTTTTAATGTAAGATCTACATAAAAAGGCTCATACCTGTAGTTAGAGACTTGCTTTCACAATGCAGGCCTGAAATTTGTGTAAAACTCCGAAACTGCCTGCGAATTTCTTCAAACGCGTCGAAATTTTATTTTCTGAGGTAATTCTAGCGCACTACAGTATCAAGTGGCATGTGCGAAATTCACAGAAGGAAGGTTTTAAGAAAAATGTAAAAGATAAATATGGACGCGTCCTACCCCGGTAAGAAGACCGCCCTGCGTTTCCCTGCCTTACTATATGTTTATGTACTTTAAGTCCTGCAAGAGAAATCAACGGCACAAAAATTGTACAGTTTCTCGTCTTAATACTCATCGGGACTAGCTACTCGATTAGTACTAGTTTTATTGACTATCTGTTGCAAAAATTCACGTCTTGCGTCGAAATTTTCTTTGGACAATAATATTGATGCATTTTTAACAAACTTCTGACTAATTAGGTTCCATAGGAGATTCTGGGGGAGATTCTGAAAATTCTCCTGAAAATCCAAAGATAATAGTTAATAACAAACCTGTTGGGGACGAAGGAAATCTTCTGGAACATGACAAGAAAAGTAAGGAGGATGATCAGGAGGCGGAAGAAGAAGAGGGGTTTGATCCAAAAGATGTGGCGTTTGATTTTGGTGAAGATCCATCCAGAGTGACCGTTGATGAAAGGAAAGGTGAAAAAAATGAACCAGAGGAGGATCCAGTATTACATGGTAAGTAGTACAATTGCTTCTTTAAGGTGGGGGACTGGGCCTCTAAGTTATCACAAAAGCTGCAAAAAAATTTCCATGAAAAAACAAATATCGCGGAAAACTGAATGCACACAAAGTAAGCATATGGCTGAAAAAATTAATTCAGAAAAATAAAATTTTCTTTATATGCATCAACACTGAATTGTAGGACGGTCGAGAGACTTCTAGACAAGAAATAAAACTACGAACCATTCACAGCCTGTTTTACGTACTTCGTTTGTTTTTCCTTTTTTCATGATTAATCCATTTCGTAATCGATTGAAAATGTTATCGTATTTCTTGCCTGAATCTGGCGCTGTTCCTGTGACATGTCGATAGATTGTGAATACAATTTTAAATGAACAGGTGATAAAGAAAGTAACGATGGGTCTTCAGAGGACCCTTTCGAGGATTCCATTGTAGAAGTCGATGTCCAGCTAGTTGAAGACAAGGGAGAGCTTCTGGAACAAGAACAGAATGTCAAACAGGATGAGCAGGAAGTTGGAAAGTCTGTGATCAGTGATGAAGAGTTTGGTCCAAAAGATGTAGGGTTTGACCTTGCTGAAGATCCAAAAAAAGCAACCACTGATGAAGTGAGAGATGAACCAGCTGAACCAGAGGAAGATCCATCACATTTTGGTATGTATGTATATTTATATTGAAACTGTCTTGAGATTTATATTAACTGTTAAACAGCTGGCAACAAACAATGATGGATTTTAAATAACATACATTTCAATCAATAGGTGATAAAGGAGACACTGAAGAACCTTGGAAGAGATTTTTCAAACATCCCGTTGCACTAAATAATAACCAGCCCGTTGAAGACGAAGGAAATCTGCCAGAGAAAGACGAGGACAGTGAAAAGGATGATCAGCTAAATGAAAATTCTGTGGTCCATGGTGAAGAGTTTAGTCCTGAAGATGCGGGGTTTGATACTGATAAAATCTCAGCTGGCACAATTGTTGATGGAATAACAGATGAAGGAGGGGAACCTGAGGATGATCCAAAAAACTTTGGTATGGAATTAGACTACGTTGCTTCTTTATAATGAGACTAATGAGAAATAAAACAAAAAATGGAAACCGCAATAACCCTCTCAAGTTCGAAAGAACGTGACCAAAACGTAACAATTAGATCTATGAAAAATTTCTTTGTGTTTAGGTGAAAAGAAAACACTATTTATTTGAAGTTGAAAGAATTACACGTCCACAGGATGCGTTTGTCCTCTGACAGATAATGGCGAGATACCAATCAAAATGCGAGTATAATTACGTTTATTGTATAATTTGCAAGATGATGGGCTACAAATGATCATGGCACGCTTTGTAATCATTTCATTGTGCGACTTAACGAGCCTCAGTTAAGCCAACAAAATATTATTCACAATAGCGAACGAAATCCAAAATTATTGCCGCTGCTAGATCAATTTAAATTCCGTGGCCACTAACTACGGAATTCGA